ATTCAAAGCAATGATTTTAAGCGTGCTCAAACAATTTGGTGAGAACTACAAGCAAGTTAATATGAATTATGAAGAGCTCACTGGGAACTACTGCAGCATAAAAAAAGTAGAAGCTATGCATAAAAATCAAAAGGAAATAAAGAATGACACAGCTGTTATGAAAAATACTTTAGAAGAATTCAATATAAGATTAGAAGAAACTGAAGACCGAATCAGTGACTTAGAAGACAAGATAAAGAAAAATATCCAGAGAGAAGAAAATGGAAAAATAGCTTAAAAATCGGGAGGAGACTTTAAGAGAGTTGTGGGACAATATAAAACGAAACAACATTCGCATTATAGGGGTACCGGAAGGAGAAGAATCAGAGAAAAGAATAGAGAATCTGTTTGAAGAAATAATGGCAGAAAACTTCCCTAAACTGGTGAAGAAAAATGCCATACAAGTCCAGGGAACACAGAGAGTCCCAAGCAAGATGAACCCCAGAAGACCCACAGCTAGACACATCATAATAAAACTGGCAAACATTAAAGACAAAGAAAGAATCTTAAAGAAAGCAAGAGAGAGACAGAAAGTTACCTATAAGGGAGTTCCCATTAGACTGTCAGCTGATTTCTCAACAAAAGCAATGCAGGCCAGAAGGGAGTGGCATGAAGTTTACAAAGTGATGCAAGGCAAGGGTCTGAATCCAAGACTACTCTATCCAGCAAGGCTATCATTCAAAATTGAAGAAAAATAAAGAGCTTCACTGATAAAAAAAAAAAAAGCTAAAGGAATTGACCACCACCAAACCAGCACTTCAAGAAATGCTGAAGGGACTGTTGTAAGAAGAAACAAAGAGAGAGGAACATAGGCATAAAATTAAAATGACAACTAATAATTATGTATCAATAATTACTTTAGATGTAAATGGCTTAAATGTTCCAATCAAAACACATAGGGTAGCTACTGAATATGAAAACACGACCAATTATATGCTGTCTACAAGAAACCAACCTCACAACAAAAAACTCACACAGGATGAAAGTGAAGGGATGGGAAAAAATTTTCCAAGCAAATAGAAAAAAAAGCTGGTGTAGCAATACTCATATTGACAAGATAGACTTCAATACCAGGACCATAATAGGAGACAGAGGAGGTCACTACATAATATTAAAAGGATCAATCAAACAAGAGGATATAACCCTAGTAAACACATATGCACCAAGTATGAGAGCACAAAATATATTTAAAAACGTCTGGAGGACTTCAAGACAGAGATCAATAGTAATACAATGTTAGTGGGTAACTTTAACAACACACCACTAACACCACTGGATTGATCTTCTAGACAAAAAATTAACAAGGACATAGAGTCCTTACAAGACAAACTAGGTCATTTGGACTTCACGGATATTTACAGAACATTTCACCCCAAAGCTGCAGAATATACATTCTTCTAAAGTGCACAGGGGACATTCTCAAAGATAGACCACATGTTAGGACACAAAGCAAGTCTCTAGAAATTCAAGATTGAAATCATATCAAGCATCTTCTCAGATCACAGTGAAATGAAACTAGAACTCAATTATAATAAAAACACAAAAAAATATTCAAACATTTGGAGGCTGAATAGTACATTACTAAACAACGAACGGGTAACTAACGAGATCAAGGAAGAAATTAAGAACTTCTTGGAAACCAATGAAAATGAACACATAAGAACACAAAATCTATGGGACACAGTGAAAGGAGTCCTGAGAGGGAAGTTCATAGCATTACAGGCCTACCTCAAGAAACAAGAAAAATTTCTAATTCACTTTCAAACCCTACAACTAAAAGAACTACAAAGTAAACAAAAAGAAAAATCCTGAGCTAGTAAAAGGAAGGAAAAAGTAAAGGTCAGAGCAGAAATAAATAACATAGAGACCAAAAAACAATTCAAAAGATCAATGAACAAAATGCCGGTTCTTTGAAAAGATAAACAAGATCGATGGACCTTTAGCCAGACTCATCAAGAACGAAAAAGAGAGAAACCAAATAAACAAACTCAGAAACAAAAGAGGACAAGTAACAAATGACACCACAGAAATACAAAGGATCATCAAAACATACTAGGCACAATTATACGACAACAAATTGAACAATATAGGAGAAATAGACAGATTTCTAGAAACACACAGCTTCCCAAAACTAAACTGGGAAGAAATAGAAAACTTGAACAGAACATTAACAACAAAAGAAAATTGAAGATGTAATTCAGAAACTCAAAGCAAACAAAAGCACAGGTCCAGATGGCTTCATGGGGGAGTTTTACTGAACATTCAAATAAGATTAATACCTATTCTCCTCAAACTATTCCAAAAAATCCAAGAAGATGGAACACTTCCAAACTCATTTTATGAGACCAGCATAAACCTAATTGCAAAACCAGATAAAGACACTACAAAGAAAGAAAACTATAGGCCAATATCCCTGATGAACACAGATGCCAAAATCCTTTAACAAAATATTAGCAAATCGGATCCAGCCAGACATCAAAAAAATTATCCACCATGACCAAGTGGGATTCATCCCAAGGATGCAAGTATGGTACAATATTCACAAATCAATAAATGTGATACACCACATAAACAAAATGAAAGATAAAAACCACATGATCTTATCAATAGATGCCGAAAAGCACCAATTTCTGATAAAAATGCTCAGCAATGTGAGAATAGAGGGATAATATCTCAACACAATAAAAGCCATATATAAAAAACCTACAGCGAACATCATACTCAATGGGCAAAAACTAAAAGCATTCCCCTTAAGGACGGGAACAAGATAGAGATACCCACTTTCGCCACTCTTAATCAACATAGTACTGGAAGTCTTACCCACACCAATTAGACATGAAGAAAAAAATAAAAGGGATCCAAATTGGAATGGAAGAAGTGAAACTGTCATTATTTGCAGATGACATGTTATTGTATAGAGAAAACCCTAAAAACTCTATCAAAAATCTACTACACTTAATAAATGAATTTGGAAAAGTAGCAGGATACAAAACTAACGACAAGAAATTGACGGCATTCTTATACACCAATGATGAACTCACAAAAAGAGTAACTAAAAAGATACTCCCATTTACCATTGCAGCAAAAAAATGAAGATACCTAGTAATAAACTTAACCAAAGAAATAAAGGACCTCTTCACAGAAAACTACAGGTCATTGAAAAAAGAAACAGAGGAGGATATAAAAAAGTAAAAGCATATACCTTGTTCATGGATTGGAAGAATTAACATCATTAAAATGTCCATATTACCCAAAGCAATCTATAGATTCAATGCAATCCCCATTAAAATACCAACGACATACTTCACAGAACTAGAATAAACACTCCAAATGTTTATATGGAACCAAAAAAGACCCCTAATAGCCTCAGCAATCTTGAAAAAGAAGAACAAAGAGGGATCACATTATCAGATATCAGGTTAAACTACAAAGCCACTGTAATCAAATAGCCTGGTACTGGCACAAGAATAGGCAGACAGATCAATGGAACAGAACAAAGAACCCAGAAATTGACCCAAGACAATATGCTCAATTAATATTTGACAAAGGTGGCAAGAACATACAGTGGAGTCAAGATAGTCTCTTCCTTAAATGGTGTTGGGAAAATTGGACAGCTACTTGCACAAAAATGAAGCTAGAACACCAACTTACACCATACACAAGAATGGATAAAAGACTTAAATGTAACTCGTGAATCCACAAAAATTCTATAAGAAAATGTAGGCAACAAAATCTCAGACAACATACACAGCAGAATTTTCACCGATACAACACCTAAGGCAAGAGAAACAAAGGAAAAAAGGAACACATGGGACTACATCAAACTAAAAAGCTTCTGCATAGCAAAAGAAATAGCCATCAAAATGGAAAGGGATCCCACTATATGGGACACCATAAATCGCCAATGATACATCAGATAAGGGGTTAATTTCCAAAATATATAGAGTGCACATACAACTCAACAAAAGACAAAGAGCCCAAATAAAAAATGGGCAGAGGACCTAAATTGAAACCTCTTCAAACAGGACATACAAAAGGCCAAGAGACGTATGAAGAAACACTCAACATCACTAATTATCAAAGATGCAAATTAAAACAACTATGAGGTATCACTTCACACTTCTCAGAATGGCTGCCATCAACAAATCACCAAACAACACGTGTTGGCAAGGGTGTGGAGAAAAGGGGACTCTAGTACACTGCTGGTGGAAATGCAATCTGGTGCAGCCGCTATGAAAAACTATAGTGTTACCTCAGAAAGTTAAAAATTGAACTGCCATTTGACCCAGTGATTCCACTTCTAGGAATATAACCTAAGAAGCCTGAAACACCAATCAGAAAGAATATATATATCTGTATGTTCATACCAGCACTATTTACAATAGCTAAGATCTGGAAACAACCCAAATGTCCAAAAGTAGATGAGTGGATAAAAAAGCAGTGGTACATGTACACATTGGAATACTATGCAGCTGTAAGAAAGAAAGATCTCTTCTTATCCTTTGAGACTGCATGGAAGGACCTGGAGAATATTATGCTAAGTGAAACAAGCCAAGCAGAGAAAGACAAATACCACATAATCTCACTTATTTGCAGAATATAATGAAGTAAACAAACTGCTGAACAAAACTGACCCAGAGACATAAGGTAGGATACAGACTGACAAAGCTCAGAAGAGGTGGTGTTGGGGGTGAAAGAGATAAACCACAGAACTGATATGCATGTATGCATAACCAACGGACATAGACAACAAAGCTGGGAATGGGGCGGGGGAGGGGTGCCAATGGGGGATAAAAGAGAAACATCTGTAACAAAAGCAAATTAAAAAAAAAAAACGTTAAAATGTTAAAACACAAGCAAACAAACAAACATAAAGAAATACTAATAAACACTATTAAAGAACAATGCCTGAACCTCAGCATTTTCCAAAATTGTAAATTTGAGTAACAGTGCTAACTTACTTCTTCAGCAGACATGTGAAATCGTAAAACATTTGGTAGAACACTGCCATATTCCCACCTGAGTGCTCTAATCCGAAGCAATCGGTCATACCTAGGACATTAAGAGGGTATTAGATGGCTTAACAAAAGGGATACCAGAAATTGTTTTGATCAGGAGAAAGTCAAGACTCACAATAATCTAAATGTACTATGTGGACTTTATTTGGCTCCTGAGGCAAACAAACCAAGTGTAAGAAGTCATCTTTAGCCTGGCCAGTTTGGCTCAGTGGTTGGAGCATTGGCCTGTGGATCAGAGAGTCCAGGGTTCGGTTCCCGCTCCAGAAAAAAAAAAAAAGAAAATGAAAAACAAGTCATCTTTGAGACAATGCAGAAAATATGAATATGGATTAGATAGAAGTCTTATTTATTAGACATGTATACTAAAGTATTCAGTGGTAAAAAAAAATGTCATGATGCTCTATAATAGTGGAGCATAAATAAAACATGAAACATATATGGCAAAACATTAAAAAATTATTACACATTTATGATGGTCCCATGCTGGTTCATTCCATTATTATCCCTAGTTTTATGAATATTGCAATTTTTCATAACAAAAAGTTTTTAAATCAAAAAAAGAATTTAGAATGTTTATAAAGGGAGAGACAAATCTAAGAATTTGTTTTTTATTTGATACGGTTAAACAGGAAACCACGTGGAAAATGCTCCATTATTCCCTCAAACCCCTAGCAAAAACTGAGAGGCTTACAAGTATGCTACAGTGCACCGTTGATTTCTTAGCAAAGAACAGTGTCGAAATTTGATGGTTGGTATCAAATCACTCTGTCCACCTGACTTCGCTTCATTCCTAGTAACATTTGAATAGGAAAAGAACAAATATGTCTATTTCAGCATAAATAAAATATTCAAGGTCAACAACTAATATGCTATATTTCAATTATAAGCAGTACCTGCCTCTATTTCAGAGCTTGTATTAACATTAAAAGATTAAAAAGCCAAAAGCCAAAAAATTTACATAAAATCATACTATCAGCATTTCATTTAACCATTCAGTACTTTGCATTTTTTATACACTGATTAATCTCTGTTATTTCCAAAAGACAAACTGTGTTTACTCACTTTCTGGAATTCCTTTATCATGCTACGATAAGAGACAAACCTAACATCATGGTTCATAAGATTATGGTCCTATATTATGTTTTTATTATATGTAGTATTCCTCATAATATAGTGAATAAAATGGGAGTCAAAAATGTTCTTTTGCCCTAGCTAGTTTGACTCAGAGAGTCAGCCCAGGGACTGAAGGGCTGCGGGTTCAATTCCCAGTCGAGGGCATGTACCTGGGTTGCAGGTTTGATCTGGGAGGCAACCAGTCTATGAGTCTCTCTCACATTAATGTTTCTTTCTCTCTCCCTCCCTCCTTTCCACTCTCTCTAATAAAATCAATGAAAAAATATCCTCAGGTGAGGATTAACAAAAAATAGATCCTTCACACATCCAACAAATATTTGTTATCTCCAACTATGTAATGTACTGCACGTCAGTGTTCTTCACACAGAGAGAAAGAAAATTTTGGTTCTACCCTATAAAATCTTCATCTCCTTAGATATCAGACAAGTACAACATTTTAAAATCTGATATACAATTGTTTAACGGGTATAGAATTTCAGTATTACAAGATGAAGAGTTATGAAGATGGAAGGTGTTGATAGTTGTACATTATCAATGTATTTAATACTACTGAACTGTACATTTATTTAGAAATGGTTAAGAAAGCCCGGCCAGTGTGGCTCAGTGGTTGAGCATTGATCCATGCACCAAGAGGTCGCTGGTTTGATTCCCAGTCAGGGTACATGCCCGGGTTGTGGGCTTGATCCTGAGTGGGGGGCATGCAGGAGGCGGCCAATCGATGTGTCTCTCTAGTTGCTGTTTCTATCTCTCTCTCCCTTTCCCTTCCTCTTTCTTTAAAATAAATAATGAAAAAAAATTTTTTTTTAAGTATTCATTAAAAGAAAAAGAAATGGTTAAGATGGCGAATTTTGTTATGTATATTTTACCACAATTTAAAAAACTGGAAAAACAAAACAGACGTACAGAAAGAATACTTTGGAGTTTAAAAAGGAACCAGATGAACATAAAAAAGTGTCCTTCATGTGGTATATGAGGCAGGCTCTGAAAATAGAGGCAAAATATTATGTTCCATCTAATCATGTCTTCTAGACCAGTTCTATACACTTCTGCCACTCTGTGAAAGTCAGATTTATTCTCCACATTGTTTACAATGTGCTGTAGATTATAAAGTAATAGTGCAAATAAAATACACCTAACTTAACATCAGAGTACTTTATTAAGTACATAAGGACTTGCTAAAAAATTCATTCACATGAATAATTTATCTATGTATTTTTAAATGTTTTTTATTGATTTTTTTAGAAAGAGGAAGGGAGATAGAAACATTGATGTGGGAGAGAAACACCATTCGGCTCCTCCTGCACACCCCCTACACATAAATAATTTAAAAGAAATAGATTTCTTTTAAAAAATATTTTAACCAGAAACTGGTAATAGTGATTGTCTCCCTAAAAAGAAACTAAAAGGACAGAGAACAGAATTTTGAATTATGAATTTCCAAATTGTACAAATATGAGGAATTCAGGAAAATTATTCCCTTATTGGACCAAGGTCTATTAGGCCACCTCCAAAATATGTGTTTAACTTATTTACTTTTTACCTGAGTCACCTCTCCTGTCACCTGGATGACCACCCTCTCCTCTCAGCTCCTCTGTCCACACCACAGCTATGATCTTATAAAACATAAATGTGCCACCACCTGCCCCACACATTTAAAAATCTTACCTGGTGTCATGCTTTGCCTGTTTAGTAAGCTTCAGCCACACTGGCCTTCTTTAAGTGTCAGTTTCCTGAGGATCCTACACTCTTTCATGACTCAGGGACTTGGCATATGCTGTCCCTTCTACCTGGAATGCCCTCTGCACACAGACTACCTTGCTAAAGACCTGCTTCCCCTTCAGGCCTCAGCTGATATGTCTCTTCCTTGGAGAGAAATTCCTTGATTCCTCAATCTGATTATATCTTCAATTTAAAAAAAAAAAAATTGTTCTTTATTGATTTTGGAGAGAGAGGGAAGGAGAGGGAGAGGGAGATAGATACATTAATAAGAGAGAGCATCGATTGGCTGCCTTTGACATGCCCCCCACTGGGGATTTGGCCCACAACCTGGGCACGTGCCCTGACCGAAATTGAACTGGCGACCTCTTGGTGTATGGGTCGACGCTCAACCACTGAGCCAAACCGGCTAGGTTATATCTTCAATTCATTATTCTCTCTCCTAGCACTCTGTTGTGTTCCTTCATAGCATGTATCCCAATTTGGTTTATCTGTCTTCTGCATTAGACTGTGAGGGCCATAGTGACAGAGATCTTGACTACTATATTTACAATCGAAATACCAGTCATTTATCAGCACATAATTGTTTAGTACATATTTGTTGAATGAATGAATGGCTCAGGAACTTTAGTTTAGGACTTTACATTCACAGCAAACCTGTTGTGGTTCAGTTCCTCATTCTATCTATAAGGACTTTCCTGTATCCATCCTTAAACATTGCAGCTGAAAATGTTCCTGTTATTCTGTAAACTCCATGCTACTGATTTGTATGTCCAAGTAACTGATAAAAACATTGTACCTAACAAGGCCAAAGATGAAACCTCATATCACAGATAACTTCTCTCTAGGTTGATATCTGAATACCTCACCTATGATCTAGAAGTTGGTGTCTTTAAGACTCTTTTGTGTCTTACTCTTCACCAAATCACAGGGACCTAAGAAGTTTGTTATATAGCCCAAAAGCTTAGCTCTAAATATTCTATAAATCTAGAGCCCTCTCACCTCCAAACTGTAGCCTTTTATAGCACTAGTTCTCAGTGAACTTCACTCAAGCTACTGGAAATCACTAATGCTCCTGCTAAGTTTACAAACTGCCCGTTCTCTCTCTTTTCAATGCAACTAATGTATCTATAAATGAAAATAAGCAGGGGAAACTATACGTTTCACTTTGTTAGGGTTTTTATTTGCTTATGTCTCATCTCTTTTAGATCTTCCTTAATATCTTTCAAGTCCTATCAGTCAAATATATATTTATTGAGCATTTACCACATGCCAAGCACTACCTGAATTCCTGTAGATATAGCCATAATCAACAAAAATCCCTTTAGTACTGTATACCTAGAGTCTCACAGAGAATTTAAAAATATCACATCTAAAAACTGATATAAGTTTATCTGATTTCAATATCACATTTCTTAAATTGTTTTAAAATACAATTTGATCACAACTTACACATCAGACTGGTTTTGTTCATATAAAGCTTTCATCTCCTCCAGAACTTGCCTGAGTCCATCCTCCTGGAACATATAAAATATTGACTCACATTCATTAATTCCCCCACCAATTCTGTACCATTAATTCCCCCAACAATTCTGTATCAATATTCTATCTATACTGTTTATCTTTGATTTACATATCTTATCAAAAAGCAATAATCCTTTCACACCTGCTATGAGGGCTATAAGTGTTGCCAAGGATGGGGAGAAATTAGAACCCTTGTACATAGCAGATAGAAATGTAAAATGGTACGGCACTGTGGAAAAAAGTCTAATGATTCCTCAAAAAGATAAATATATTACCATATTATCCAGAAATTCCACAAATAGGCATATATTCAAGAGAATTAAAAACATGTTCTTACAAAAACATGTACACAAATGTTCAAAGCAGCAGTATTCGTTATAGATGAAACGTGGAATGTCTATCCCCTGATGAACTGATAAACCAAATATGGTATATCCATATGATAGAATATTATTTGGCCAAAAAAACAATGCAGATAGCCCATGGACACAGACATCTGATGAAAATTATAAGACTTCTACCTTCCCTTTCATCAGCTGATTAAAAAGGGATCAAAAAAGAGTCCCATTTGTTAGAATTCAGTTAATATTATTTTAAGGAATAGTCAAAACTCTTATACAATAGATGTATAGATATACAAAAGACAAGTGTAAAATAATTTTGTAAAAATTTACTTAAACTACTACCAGTTCTGCATATAGAGCCAGTGTGGCTCAGTTGGTTAAGCATTGTCCTGTACATCAACAGGCAGTAGGTTTCACTCCCGGTCAGGGCACATACCCAGGTTGTGGATTTGATCTCTGGTTGGAACACAACCAATCAATATTTCTTTCTCTTTCTTTCTACCTTTCTCTCTCTCTCCCCCTCTCCCTAAGATCAATAAAAAATATAATAAATAGCCCTGGCAGGTGTGGCTCAGTTGGTTGAACTTTGTCCCATGTACCAAAAGGTCACCAGTTTGATTCCAGTCAGGCACATGACTGGGCTGTCGGCTCAATCCCCAGTAGGGGGCGCTCAGGAAGTGGCTGATCAATGTTTCTCCTTCATATCTACATTTCTCTCTTCCTCTCTCTCTAAAATCAATAAAACATATTTTTAAAATTTTTTTAAATCAATTAATTTTTAAAAAGATAAAGAAAGTGAGTAATCATTTCAATTTGCTAAACACTGCAAGTAACCATGAGGGATGCTGGAATGAAATAGGCAGAGTCCCTCAGATCAATCAGATTAATTCTCGATCTGCCTCTGCTTAGTTATGTCACAGAGTAACCAGCTTCCCCAGGCGAGCATTCCAGGCTGCTGAGTCACCTGAAAAAGGTGGGTTTGTTAGTTGAAGGCATGATCCAACAAAAAGTACAAAAGGTTCTCCAACAAAGTAAGACATAGAAGAGGGAGTGATTTTACAACTTCTAAGTCCTGCTCCCTCAAAGTAGTAAAGCAATAATTTGCATGTATCTGCAGCATTCCATCATCGCTACTGAACTTCCCACGATTGTCTCCCAACTTTTAAAGAAGGTAAAGGTCCTGAAATTGAAACAACAGACTAGAATCTAGGAAACTTTTGTTCAAAGTGAGGCTCTGCTTCCAATATGCTATAAGTTCAGACAATTCCCTTAACTTGATCCATGTCTCTTGGCTGTCTCCTCATCTGTACAATGACCTAATTTTCAGACTAGGTGCTCTTTAATATTCAAAACAAAACTCACCTTCCCCAAACACTCTTATTCCTGAACTCCATTGTTGTTTATTCAGACCCCAGTTCCTCCCCCTCGTTTGTTACCTATCCCATCTACACCTCTGTTCTAGTTACAAGTCTTGTCTCAAGTCACTAAAACCCAATCACTAATTTCAGGGCCAACTGACTAGACAGTCTGGACCATACAAATCTCTCAACTGGCCCATTATAACCACCCAAACAATCTCTCGGCCTTCATTCTTTCTTCTGTCCAGTCCATTCCCCACAGTGCTGCCATAAATATTCTCAAAACACAAAAAATTACCCAATCACCCTCCTAAAATTACCAGCTTCCAAATGCCCTGAGTAAATACCAAACTCTCTTAGACTTAGAATCCACCTTTGTAGTCTCCTCACACATCATCAGTCACCCTTCCTATGTGATCATTTATCTCTCTCTGCTGTCTGCTATCTCCTTTGGCTTGGACGCCTCAAGCCGTTTGTCAGAGTGGTGACGTCATCCATCCTTCTGGGCGTGGCTCAAAAGCATCCTCCTCTACCCTAGCTCACACTGGAGTTTCTCCTTTGTGTTCCTCTCCCACACTTCTTTGGTATAACTACACGTTGCATTCTATTACCTGTTCCATGCCCTCTCCCAGAAGAATGTGCCCGGCATCCACACAGTGGCTGCCATATGATAGAAAAATGTAGTCAAGTACAGAATTTAGAGTGCAAGTCTGAAGCCAGACTTGCCAGGGTTCAAATCCTTAGCTTTACTTCTTACTGGCTGTCACTATGGGTAAAATAATCTCCCTACGTCTCCACATACATAGCTAGAAAGAATGGAAAACAACAGTTTAAACCTCATAGAAATATTATGAGGTCAAGAGATAATGTAGGTCAAGCACCTTCACTGGGGTAGTAGCAATTGTAAAGGACAAACACGTGACCTTGCCCCCTGGATTTTAAGGGAATGGCAAAAATCGATCTACTAATAGATAACCACTGCATTGTATAAATAACTATTGCTTTGTGTACACTGAAACTGTTCCCTCAGGCATAACAGCTAATTGCAAATATCTGCTTCTGTAAGTGCTTGCTTGCTCGCATACCCTTAATCCAAATTCCTTAACAGGAGCTAAAACAACTATATAAGCAACCCTACCCCTGAGCTCAGGGCTGCTCTCTCCTCTGAGTAGGATGGGATAGTCGCAGCGGCTAATAAAGCTGTCCTAATTCGAACCCAGTTCAGAGTCTGAGTCTAGTTTGTCTCGTTAGTCTACAACATTTGGAGGCCCCAGTGAGATAGACAAACAAGGTCCCTCACATAGGCGGGTTGACCTCCTCAGACTCCGGGAGACAGGTCGATCCCAGGAGCGGACAGGCGGTCTAGGGGAAGGCCTCGGAGAAGACATTCCTCCACCCCATTCCTCCACCCCAGACGCTGTTCTGCCCTGGAATTGTCTCCACTCCAAAAATTCCAACTAGAGAGCATCTGGAAACCCTGGGCCCAGGTTTGGTTTGGCCGACGGGACATCCCTCGGTAAGTCTGTTTCTGGAATCTCTACAGAGTGAGGGGAAGTGGATCTGCTGGAGGTAGCACAGAGATCCTGCCCCAGGGCCATAGCAAGACGTCGCTTTTGGCCCTGGTTTGGTTTGTCTTGTTTTTTGTCTGTCTTATTTGTCCTTTTGTTTTGTGTTTTATGTTTCTGTGCTGTGCCGGCCTGTGTCCTTCAGAATGGGTCAGGGACCTTCAGGACCTAGGACCCCTCTTCAATGTCTCCTTACTAACTTCTCAGACTTTTCCAAGCATGCTTCAGGTTACAGCATCTCAGCAGACCCTGGATTCTTGCACATTTGTGAGAATTGGAGTGGCCCACTTTCTGGGTCAATTGGCTCTCCCAGGGCACTTTTGACTTAAGCTCTTTGTTCGCAGTTCGAGGCATCATCTACGGGACTCCCAGACACCCAGACCAAATTCCTTACATCGATGTTTGGATTGACCTAGCTACTAACAAGCCTAATTATATTAAGAAATGTTTGCGCCCTAATAGGGAGAAGATTTTAATTGCCCAGCTTCCATGGAAGCCTCAGAAGCCCTCGGCTCCTGCTCCCTCCCAAAGGCTTTACCCTGTTCTTTTCTCCCCCAGAAGACTCCCTCACTGACCCTGTGGGGCCACACCCTTATCGGTCTCCGCCACCTGCCGCTGCCGTGGCCTGAGAGGCTGAAGCCCTTCAGCCGCTCAGTCCTTCCCATACACGTGGCGGCAACCCCTTATAACCCTCCTTCGCAGGCGCCAGACTCCTCGGCTGCCATCCTGCCCCTCCGTCAGGTTGCTCCACCACCAGGTGGAGACCAGACTCGGCCCTTTATAGTTTATGTCCCCTTTTCAACTAGCGATCTGTATAATTGGAAACAACAGAACCCTTCCTTCTCTGATAAACCCCAAGGTTTAATCTCTCTCCTAGAGACAGTCTTCCACACCCATCAGCCCACTTGGGATGACTGTCAGCAATTGTTGCAGGTCCTGTTCACCTCCGAGGAGAGGGACAGGATGCACAGAGAAGCAGCAAAATTCGTCCGCAGACGGCCAACCCCTCACAGATCCGGCCCAAATAGAAGCCTACCTCCCAACTACCCGACCCAATTGGTACCTGAACACTGATCAAGGTAAGAAGGCTTTAACCCAGTATCACCAATCTCTACTTCAGGGCCTCCGTGGAGCAGCCAAAAAGCCAACCAGTCTGTCTAAGGTAAGCGAGACTGTTCAAACCGCAGGGGAATCCCCAGCGGCCTTTCTTGAACATCTCATGGAGGCTTATCGCCTCTTATTCCCATAGACCCGGAGGCCCCTGAGAATAGACAGGCAATTAATATTGCTTTTGTCACCCGGTTGGCCCCAGACATTAGGAAGAAACTCCAGAAATTAGAAGGTTTTGAAGGAAAGAATCTTAGTGAGTTAGTTAAAATAGCTCAGAGAGCATTTAACAACCGGGACGACCCAGAAATGGCCAGTACTAAAAAAAGTCACAAGAGTAATCATAGCCGCTCTTCAAAAGAATCAAAAAGGGCAACGAGGAAATAGGCCTAAAAACATAGGGTCAACCCCACGGAGACCTAGGCAACGATCTCGACCACTTCTTGACCCTAACCAATGTGCCTACTACAAAGAATATGGTCATTGGAAAAAGGACTGCCCTAAAGGGAGGGCCCAATAGAAACCTAAGGACCTCATTCTCTTAGAAGACACTGAATGAGGGGCTCAGGGCTCCTACAGATTAGGTCCTCGGGAGCCCAAGGTAACATTACAAGTTGGG